CCCCAAAACCCCAAAACCCCAAAACCCCAGAGGCAAAACCACAAATAGACTTGGACTTATTAATAAATTATTATTAATAAAATGTCAAAGGGAAGAATTCGTCCAGAAACTGTTAGCTCATGAAACCCAGATAGAACTGAATCAGCACAGGAAGGATCAAGACTGATGTTCGGGCTCAGCCAGGATGATTTAATTCGAGCTAAGAAAAGAAATAATCTTGAATTACAAGAATCAAATTCCAACTCAGATTCATATTCTGAAATAATTGACTGCATACAGGATATTAATAAAGAGGATACTGATAGACAGTTGTTGATGAAGAAGGGTAAGTTTATTCCAGTTCCTAAATCTATTCCAATATCCACTAGTTTTCTTGATCTCTCTAACCCTTGTGTGAAGATATAGATAATGAAGACAAAAAGAAAATTCTAAATGAGTGAGATTTCTAGGCTAGTAAAATTTCGATTATTCTTCAATTCATTTCACAAAATTGATAACAAATTATAGAAAGCACAAGAATGAAAATGAGATAGAAGATCAGGACAAATAGCTCTGTTGGAGGGTCAGAAGAAATTCATCGGTTTAATACCAACCAGACCGGTAAAGTTAGCAAGAAGAGTGCGTTCAAGAGCCAGTTGTTATTACCAAAAGTAGGGATAAATGTTCAACCCCAAGATAGTGGTAAGAGTATAATAAAAATGACTTAATGTAGACAGGAATAATAATGAAGATTCAGACAAAATCGAACCTCTTCCAAATTTGAAACCAGTTGAAGACAATAGTCAAAGCAACAAAGAAGTTTTGGATACTGAGGAAACCCAAATAGAGTTTAAGTTAAAGAGCAAGGCTCCTAAAAAGAAATGTTTTTGTAGACAGCTTGATCAAGGGAAAATAAAATGGGACTTATTTATCATGCTCCTTGCAATTATAAACTGATTCCAAGTACCCTACTCTGTTGCATTCACTGATATTGATAGCAGTATTATTTACCTTGATATCATAAATTTGTGCATTGATTTCATTTTCATACTAGATGTGATAATCAGTTTTAGAACATCAGTTATTCTAGAATCTACTGCACAGGAAATATATGACAATAAGAAAATTGCTGTAATTTATCTCAAAGGGCGATTTTGGATAGATTTTCCTGCTTCAATCCCATTTGATTTATTCACCTATATCTTCCCTATTTTGAGAAGCAATCAACTGACCCTTCAAATGATAGGCTTACTTAAGCTAGTCAGAGTTTTAAGATTGTCTCGCTTAATCACTTATCTCAATGTAAAAAGTGAACTAAAGATGTCTTTAAAACTTGTAAAGTTAATCTTCTTCCTGATTCTTTTCTTGCACTGACTGGCATGAATTTGGTTCTTCATTGTGAAACAAAATGAAACATGGATACCACCTCTTGATTATGTCTGGGTGGAAACTGAGTTATATGATCAAGGAGCTTTCCATCAATATTTAAATGCCTTATACCATGCCGTTTTGATGCTAGGAGGAAATGATGTTGGCCCAAGAGGAAATTTTCAACTAACATTTGTTTCTATTACACTCCTTGCTGCAGCCATTATCAACGCAAATATTTTTGGTAATATGGCAGTGATCTTACAATCCCTCAACAAAAAAGCCACTAACTTCCAGGAAAAGCTGGATAATGCGAATGAGACTATGAAAAATCTGAGAATTCCAAGGGCTTTACAAGAAGAAATTAAAGATTATTTTACCTTCACTCAAAATACTCAAGATCACCAAAGTGACCTGAAAATATTCATGTCAACTCTATCTCCTAGTCTTAGGCAGAAAGTAATCTCATCTATTTTTAAGGGTGTTCTAGTAAAGAACCCAATTTTCAATATGCATAATGCTGCTATCAACCAAATCCTTGGAACTATGGAGACATGCTTATTCCTACCTGAGAACAAGATAATCACCCAAAACCAAGAAGGCAATATGATGTACTTCATTGCTCATGGAGAATGAGATGTAACCGTCCTTACTGAGAAGCAGAAAGAGATCCATGTATCCACTATCAAGGAGGGCGATTTCTTTGGAGAAGTAGCCCTCATTAAGAAGTGCAAAAGAACCGCCTCAGTTATCAGTAAGAATTACACAACTCTTGCTTCCTTCCATGAAAATGACTTTGATTCCTTGATTGAGGAATATCCGTTTATTAAGCAGAAAATGGAAAGTAAGATGATTGATGAGTATAATGACCCTTGGAAGAAATTTGTAAAGAAAGTGCTAAGAAATATTGACTACCTCAGCTACTGAGTTTCTGATGAAACAATTGAGGAAATAGTGTATTTTTGAGAGCCTATTACAATCAGTGAAAATACACAGTTGTTTAAAGCAGGATCTAAATGCCAGGATATTTATATAATCAGTGATGGAGAGCTTGATATTAGCGTGAATAATGCTAACAAAGAAACTTTCTTAGACACTTTACATATTGGAAGCTCTATAGGGAGTTATTGTGCCTTGGTAAATGAACCATATTCGATCTCAGGAAAATCTAGAACTACTTGAAAATTACTCAAGTTGCCAATCAAGTAAGGTTCAATTTACTATTTTTAGAAAATTATTTTCGATGAGAGAGCAGGTAGAAGACTTAGACTATAATATGACTGAATATGAGCAATACATTGATGAAAATGGATTACCCTACTGTGATTACAGGATTTACAGACATGGACACCTCAAACTCAGGCCAATTCAAAAATTTCAGGTTGGAATCAGAAGAATTATCAATATTTTAAGGTCATACAAATCATTAGACCTCAGAGGACTGCTTGATAATGTCAAGAATCAGATAAAATAAGCAAAAAGAGGCTGAAAAGAATAAAAGAAAATCTGCTATGCTCAGAGGTAATCCAATGACAGCTGAACAGAAAGCTGATGAATATTACTATTCTTTAAAATAGCGAGATGAGGCACGTACAGTCTTCAATGGTATTTCAGAACAAAGAGATGTTACATCTTTTCAAGAAAACACAAAAACAAATTCAAAACCTTCATAAACTGATCAAAGGGGAATCAGTTGTTGAAGATCCAGAGAGTAGCAATGAGTCTAAACATGATGAAGCATTCAAAAATCTTTCATCAGATCCTCGCCAACCAATGATGAGAAAGGTTAGAGATCGAGGGCTTTCCAAAGCAATGAGGAAGATAACTAATACAAATGTATCAGATCTTCACCTGGAGCTACCTGGGAGCCATGTACGAAAGAAGAGTATGAATTCATTAATGCCTTCAAACTTTCAGGATCCTATCACAACAACTCATGAGCAGAAAGCGTATAAAAATAAACTAAAACTGCAGAAGAGCAAGAGTTTTCACCAAGACAAACATTACAAAGAAGATAATCTGACTGAAAAGGAAGAATCGAAGAGAGGAAATCTTCCTCAAAAGAATAAAATTGTTGTTCTAAAAATTAAAGATGAATACCAGGATGCAGTCAGATTAATGAATCAAGGTAACAAAATTTGGTGCATGACACTTTAGACTCCTCTTTAGAAAAACCCAAACCAAAAGCAGAGACTATGGAACAACCTCTTGTAATGAGAAGGAGAAGTCTCACAATGGAGAGCCCTGATAGTATGATAAAATCTGAAAATAAGACTTATGATATGCCAAATGAATTAGTAAGCTCAGTTTTGAAACATCGTAAATATGCAAGCATTATTGTAAGTCACTTTCCAATTGCTATCTAACCTAAACATAGCGGAAGAATCAGAAAATACAAAAGAAAAGTAGCATACTAAAGCTTGATACTATGAAAAGCGATCTTTCATAATATTTGAACTTCACTTGTTTTAGACTATGCTTCTAGTGATGGGGTTTTGGGGTTTTGGGGTTTTGGGGTTTTGGGG